TGAGTCTACCAAAAATTTCTCTCCGAGCATTTCTCTATTTTTCCAGGTATTTATAGTGAAACTACCAATTTTATAAGAAAAGGTGAGATTATTGGGGTTTCTTTGGGTCTTTGTGTTTTGTTTTTACTATCATTTATTTTTTTAAGCTGTTTTTGTGTTTTACAAAAAAAAAAAAAAAAAGACAATTTGACCCAATGTATTATATACCACCAATTTAGAAAACATTGCCATCTCTGAATTACTCACAGAAACAGATTATAAAAAGATTTTAACAAAGAGTCACAAGAGCTACATGGGTCATTTAGAAGAAAACTTAAAGAGAAAAGGGAAGAAGAGTTGAAATGTTCAGATATTATTTGATTGTTCGTGATTGATTCCACCTGTGTTTCTTCTGTGTGAGGCGTCCTGGTGGTCCAGTGGGGTAAATGCTGGACTGCTAGCCAGAAGTTTGGCATTCCAAACCTTTGGCCGCTCTACCCCAGAAAGAGGAGGCAGTCCACTCCTGTAAAGATTACAGACTCAGGACCCCTCCGAGAGAGTTCAGCTGTGTCCTGCTGTGAGTCAGAGCCCCACACATCGTGCTCATATTACAGAAAACCGAGGCGTTCTCCTCACACTAGAGCACGTTGGCCAGTTCCAGAGTCCAGCCCCACATGTTTGGAAGCTGACTCATGGGGACCTGAAGCAGGTCTACCAGGATCCCAGTCTGCTCTGAGGAAGTCCAATTAAGTGGAGTTTTGTAGCCCAGTAGTGTTACCTGAAATTAAAAATGCACACACAAATGTCACCAAACACATCCCTTGGATTCACCAGCTTTTTTCAGGAATGTGTCAATGGCTTTAAAAAAAAAAAAAAGTAAATAAAGCATTAAAATAGGAAATTCTTTGACCTTTTACATAGATTATATTTTTTTTATTTTACATTGTTTTGCATTTAAAAAAATTCATGTATATATTGTGTTTCACACTTTCCTTCATTCACATTGTGTTTCACACAATCTTTCCCATACATGGTGTTTTAGTAAATTAATCACCATTGAATTATGCCCAACATTACCCCTATTTTCAGATCCCCACTGGATCTTTCGCATTTCCTTTACCCCCTCCCTCCATCAACCAAAGTGTGTGACCCCATGATGTCCCCCTGCCCATTCTCACCCTTCTGTTCCCTCCCCTTCCCCCCTTGGACTTCTTATACATTTTACTAGTTTTCCTTCTCTTTTTACAATAATGCTCGTATGCAGTATTTGTCTTTATGAGATGGAGTTAGTTTACATTTTTAACTCTAGAGTCAACTGACTACAGACATTTGTCTTGCTTTCTTTAATCCTCAAGAGGGAGAATAGGATTAAGAGTGGATAGACAATGAACATTGCACTAAAATAGATGAAGGAAAGGGCTGTTTAAAAGGAATATATGAATAATATTGCATGAGTTCCTTGTTTTTTAATGCAGCATAGTATTCCATTGTGCGAATATACCACAGCTTCTCTAGCCATTCGTTTGTTGAT